ATGTTTTAATGTGTATATGATGCAATACGGCCCTATCATGGATTTAGGGAATTTTATTGAAAGATGAGAAAGGATATTCTCAGGTTGGAAAAAAAGGCTGAGGCTTACAGAAAGATAGGAAATACATAATACGACTCAGCAGAAAGAAGTGATCATTCGATATGCAGATACAAATTTGAAATTAAAAATTTTAAATGGCAGGGAAATTTCTTGGCAGACCCCTTAACTGGAAAAAAAAAAAAAAAAAAAAAAAAAAAAACGAAAAACAATGTGAGAACGCTTAGGAAAGTTTGCGGATTGATAATATTCAAATTGAGATTAAATTACACTGAAAGATATTATATAAACGTGAGCTGGCTACATACAAGAGATTGATTAAAAAAGCGAAGAAAGAAACTAAATATAAATACTTCCTCTGGAGTACAGAATATTACGATATATTTTTAAAAATATCAGCATTAAAACATTATTGTTGCGCCCATGGGGGAGAATTCTAGAAGCAAGACATCCAGATGATGATTACTCAATTGAAAACTAGAAGTGAATCAAGTAAGTTGGAATTACAGCCGCCATCTTATTTTATGATTTTATTATGCAATTAATGATCTTAAATATCATATTCTCTTTAAATATTGGAAGACCGCCGTAATGGTCCTAACTGCGAAAGAAAATGGAAAACATAGGCCAGTTTGTTTGTTAAAGATCTTGGCAAAATTTTTTAGACAGTTATTTACAAAGAGGCTTACCACTATGCACTGACTTCAGAAATTATATCAAGGAGGCAATACAGATTTGTATCGGGCCGCTCCGCTGATGACGCATCATATGATTTTGTAAATTTTATTCGAGGAAAAAGGAAATTATTTCATGTGGCAGCTGTCTTCTTTGCTATTAAAAACGTTTCGATTCAATGAATTGGAGTATGCTTTTAAAACTTTTATTAACATTAAGGATCCCTACAGTAATTTTTTAACTTTTACAAAACTACTTCGAAGAAGGAACGGTGTCGTTTCTATGGAAGATAAAGCAAGGGATAAATTATATGAAGTGAAAATAGGCTGGCCCCAGGGGTCACGCAGCTGTCCGCTTCTTTGGAATATGGTTATCAATGAATTACTTAACAAGGAATTTCTCCTTCATGTAAAAATATTTGTCATGGCTACAACTTAATGCTTATTTTAACAGAATGCTCCCAGGAGAGGCTGGAGAAAAAATTTGAAGATGTTGTAAATATAATTGATAGCTGAAGAAATGAACAGAGATTAGAGTTCAACTTTAAGAAGTTCGAGGATCTTCTTTTCCCTAAGGGAGGTAAAAACGTAAGGAAATCTTTTATCTTTTTTATTCAGGAAACGAAATGAGGCTAATTACGGATTTGAAATTTTTCGAAGTATTCTTCAATAATACACCGACTTTTGTTGAACATTTTAAATATGTACATAGAAAAGTGATTTGATTCTGCAATTTTATAAGAGAAGCTTCCCAGGTGAGATTCTAGCTCACAAGAGCCCCGCGTTTTGAAAGATTTTTAATAATGTGATTTTTCAATTATATTCTACAGTATTGGTGCTTGGGAGCTCGAGCATCGAAGCTTTATCGAATTAGAATAAAATTAGATTCCACCAGACGAACTGGCTGCTGGTCATTGCAAGCCTTCTTAAAACTGCTCCAACGGAGAAGGCATGTGTGTTAGCAGGCATTCCGTCTCTCTCATTGCAATGAGATTTTTAGCGTACAAATTTATTATTGAGGATTGGCAGATTGGATATACGGGTGATCCATGACTTTAGCTTACTAGGTTCGGTTTTAAAATCTTAGATGTGAATTTAATTTATCGCAAGAATAGAATCTCATTGGAATACTATACGAATGAGTCAAAAGAGAATGAGCTTGATATTTACACTGATTGGTCCGGGACTGGGCAGAACTTAGGAGATGCTTTCGTTGCCTATTATTATGACTCTGAAGCAGATAATGGAAAATTGTAACTCTATTTTTCAATCAGAATTTCTTGCAATTTTTAAAGCACTACAGTAAGCACAAGAAAAGATAACTTGTAATAGAAAAATTACTATATATTCTGTTTGTCTCTTGGTTTTACAAGCTCTCTCCAACCCGGACCAACCGAATATTTTGATTTAAATAACGAAAGAACTATATACAAGCCTTCTTAAGAAACATGAAATTAGACTTAATTAGAGCGCATGTTAGATATTTAGACAATGAGTGAGCGGATGTCCTTACTAAAGAAGCAGCTTTAGAGCCTAATACTTTAAAAGCGGAAAAACAGGTTCAAGAAAAAAAGACCATATGAATTTTCGTAAATAATTTGTACAGGAATTGGGATATCCTACGCCAAAACTGTATAAGAAGAAAAGATTTTCTGTATAATTTTCAAATTAAAATAAATACAAACCCTGTCTCAAGCATAGATGTTGTTCATATTACAAGCGGCCATGGAAGGTTTCCCTATTACTTAAATAGTTTGGGCTTCAAGATAATATTGATATCACATTGCATAATTCTCATAAATGCAAATTATGCACTGTGATTGGAGATGCTCGTCATTTTGTTGGACAGTGTTTTATAATTAGAGATACAGAAAAATCAAACAAGCACTTAAACATTGAATTACAATAATATAGTAGTGAAAAAGATTGCAGAGAAGATTATGGCAAGAATAGGTCAAAAAACAGAAAAATAGACATATTATGTTAGTTTACATTTAAGGGCGTGTTTGTGTTAGTGTTTTGAAAGTTCTCCTTTGTTTTGTTTTTAATTTTTTTTTTCATTTTATTGGGGGTGAGGGAGGTTCTGCTTTTTTATATCAGTGCATGAAGTACAAAAACCAAAGGTTTATATAGTAGTACCTTCTGACTGTATTTTATGATTTCTGTTTTGCTATGTTTTACTAATCATTTTTGGTACAAATGTGCCATTTTATTTTCCATACTACTTCCAGTTTTTAAGTTAACTTCGTGTACATTAAACCCTTGCCTAACGCAAACTTGCAAATTAAGGTTGCCTAACGCAAACTTGAATTAAGATAGCGCATGCGCTATCTTAATTCACTCTATTTAATTTGTCCAACGCGAGAATTTCAATTATACGCGGCATGTTACAGAATATCAGCCGCGTTGAAATAGCCCTCTTTAATGATTGGTTTGAGAATGCATTCATTAAAAAGTTAAACATTATTTAGAACAACAAAATATGAGCCTTAAAATTCTCCTTCATAATGCTTCATAATGCACCAGGACACGGTGTTGAAGCCCTCATAGCATAACATCCAAATGTAAATGTATTTCTCCTTCCACTGAACACAACTGTCTTAATCCAATTAATACTCTAATGATCATAAAAACATTCAAACTAAATCTCTGCAAATTAAGTACTAGACAAAGGAAATGATGACACATTAATAGCATTTTCGAAGCATTTCAATAAGAGACACTGCATCGTAATGAGTAACTCGCATGGGAAAAATTGAATTCATCAACAATGAATGCTTGCTGACCATCCCTGGCCAGAAATTGTCAAAAATTTTAAAGGATTTTCATTGACTGAAAATAAAGCCAATGCTGTGTCCAAACGGCAATTCCAGTTGCGTTATTACCACACGTATTCTGAATATGCTATTAGGTGATAGAAAAATTCAAATAAAGGAAAACTTTGGACTACTGGTGAATTGCCTTTTGGAAACAAATATATGGATGTACCCGAGTTCAACACAAATAAAGGGCCAGAACTCAGATGATTCTCCACCGTTATGTTCTGTATTGTGCCGAAAATCTTGCCTTATATTTTTTGTGTCCCTACAGAGTTATACGTTCATTAATCCTCTGACTGCAGATGCAAAATTCATAAAAGCGTAACGCCCACCAGCGGCCGAGCGGTAAAGTCGCTGAACACTGGTAGTTCGGTCCGAGGTTCGAATCCCGCGAACGGGCTGGCTGCATGGGCGTTTTCGTGGTTTTCCCCATGTGTAACGTGTATACGAGCCAGTTTCCCTTAGAAAGTCCTCCACGAAAGGCATCCCTCCCCTTAGGCAGATAGCCCTCGTGTGCTTTGCCATAATTAAATACACACACATACACACACATAAAAGCGTAACATATTCATACATTTTCTTTCTGCGAAACTGATTGCAGTAGAAATCCTAATTTCTGCCGACACGATAAGAATCTTACCCGCGTGTATTAAGGATAAAAGGTGAACGCGTTATTTACGAATCTCACGTTCGGAGCGTGAATTTGAAATTTATGTTAATTTCATTTCATTTCCAAAGTGATTTATTTACTTGTTTTTTGATGCGTTTTTAAAGTTAATTTTACATTATTGTTTTCTGCGTGAATCATTAATTAATAATCTCTAGCACCGACAGGTTTCTTAGAATGCATTATCTCATTTTCTGCTTAAAAGCGCAGTTCGATCCTATTTTCGGTTTGGTCTATTTGATTGTGGCAAAGAAGTCGAGAGCTTTCTGCCTAAGGGGGAGGATTTCGTGGAGACCTTTCTAAGGGAAACTGGCTCGTATACACGTTACACAAGGGAAAAACCACGAAAACGCCCATGCAGTCTACCCGTTTGCAAAGATTCCGAACCTCGGACCGAATTACCAGTGTTCAGCGAATTTATCGCTCAGCCACTGAAAGGCATCCTTTCTTCATTTCCGTTAGCTGTCGCAAGCCACTAAGTTAACATATTGAAAGCGTAAATCGAACGTATACACACAGTCGATGTGATTTAGGTTACTAAAATTGAAATGTCGTTGGATAACTGGCGAAATATTTTGAAAATTCTAATAAATAAAAAATTACCTCGAAAAATGAATAACTAAAGCAAAAAGTGTGGTTTATCCCTTCGAAAGTAAGCATAAAAAGGTCTACTTGAAAATATTTCCTAGTTAACAAATTTAAACTGTTGTTTTTCTTGAAAAAGAATACTGGATATATTTTTGTCTTATAATAAAATAAAACTATATTTATTTATTTTTCAAGCTGGATAAAGTTCTGCTATTCGGAATGGGAAGAGAAAAGTTATCGCACGGGTTAAATGATTCCGCCATAGATGCTTACTTCAGATTAATGGTGAAAACAGCTAATCAATTGGGTGCAAATGAAAATACTTCAGAAACAGAGCTTCGGGAAACGCTTGATTTTGAAATCATGCTGGCTAATGTAAGTAAAGGAAATTCTTAATTTATTACTTTTCATAGCAGCATTCACCTGCTGTATTTATGTGTTCGAATTATTATTCAAAACAGAAGAATTATTTCTATTCTTTGATCAACACCGACAACTGCGTATGAGGTTAGCATCGTATGTCAGACTACGTAAAAAACTGTCAAATAATAGAAGAAAATTTCTCAAATTGTAAAATAGCTCAGGGTACAACAATTTGCTTTGGCATTTATTTCATAGGATAACAGTACTTCCTAAAAGGGTAATATTCTAATAGACATTTTATATATAATACGATAGAATCCATGTAGCACAAAAAACATATGAACTGATGTGACTTGACTCATGGACATTCATGTTTTGAATATGAACTTTTCTATATCTGACCCATACCAATTTAGCACTTTATGTATAATTAAGAATACAATTCGTTAATTCACTCTCACTTCTATTTATTAAATATGTATGCGTAGTGCACTTAATATATTTTTTTCTGTTGCGTAAATTCTATTTTATTTTATTGCCTATTTACTGTATCCACTTGTATGTTACTATATTTTTTTCTATATTATTAAGCATATGAACTTAGTCCCATTCAATGTAAGCACGTATTCTATAACCTTATAGCTCCTGCTGCCAGATAAACAATGAAAATACAATTGCAGATTTACAGTGCCCTTTGCTCGCGTACTTTGCTCGCGTAGACATTTGCCTACCTACCGGGCACTCTATTTCTCTCGCGATACTGGTGAACGCGTGTCAAAAGCGACTAAACTATGGTAAATATGATGGTGTCCTTGTCCTCGGTCAGCAGGCAACAGGAACAACAGTCTTCTTTGTTTGATGTAGATTCTAAAGTAGAAATAAGCCTTTCTGTGTTGTATAAATGCTGGATAATAAAAAAATAACAAAATAGTTAGAGGCAATCAAATACTTTTTAACTGCGATTGCTTGAAGATAATTGTAATAACTTGCTTTAAGATGTCATCCGGTGGTTCAACAAACCTAGAAAGTATTTCAAAAAGACTGAATATCTCTGAATGACATAATTTAATATCTCTTGAATGTACGATTATTAACCATTACCAGTTTAAAAATACCATTTAATAAAGGCATTTAATGTATGGCAGTATTGATTAAGAGATACCTTTTGGTAAAAATATAGGAAATTTAAGAGTTTACATCACCTATGGAGAAAGTCATAATTAGTAAACTTTTTAGAAATATTCTTAAAAATAAGAAATAGATCCAGAGATGAAGAAATCATCAAAATAATATGACTTAAATAATTTTACTTGAAGAACAGCAAGGTTATTTACTGATAATCGTTAAACTTAATTAATGAACTTAATTAATTTAATTAACATTAGTGAATAACGCTATATATTTGCCTGTTTCCATACACACTTGTGTTACTTATTCATTTTCAGTCCTTGAATATGAGAAATTTTACGACGGGAAGAAACTGTGGTTTGTTCTAAAACAGCCTTGTAGCTTATACTATCGTTACTCGTAGTTTATACAATCGTTAATTGCTTTTAAGGTTATGAATTAGTATTAATTATGAGTACTGTGAATTAGTACTAATTCATTTAAGATGTATTACTAAATTCTTTCCAAATCTTAGTGATGAGTTTTGCTAATTCACAAATATCTAATTTCTTCTGGTATATTTCAAGACTTTTCCCAAACAGTTACCTTACAGCATTTAAAGAAACGCGAAATTGTACTGCTCTCATTTATTCGGTTGACATTGGTTTTCTAACATTTTATTTGAGCTGATTGAATTTTTTTCTCTGTAGTTATCTTCGACACATGGAGCATTCATCAAAAGTCCAGCTAGAATGTCATTTCGTGAACTATACAATATGTCTTTAGATTACACGAATGACAAATACACTGTAAGGAAGCTTGTGGATACGTTACCACAGGTGAAATGATTGTTTTATAAACTATCTTCATGGATAATTAGTGATATTAAGTATAAAAGCATGTGTTCCTTTAAAATTTACTTTCTGCTGAAAATGAAATTTTACATACTAAAGACTCAGTTGCAACTTATGTTATAACTTATTTGACTGTGAAACTAAAATCGCACAACAATGATTGTTCCATGGATAATTATTATCCATTAATCGAGGTGGGTTTGTGGTTAGGAAGAATGTTTTTCAAAACACCAAAGACACAATTGTCCATAGATGAAACGTAAGCGGACTAGGCAGGAATAAACTCCTTTCTAAAATTTTCTTTGAATTGACAGAACTGGATTTATGTATTTTTTTCTTTTCGTTTCGTTTCCAATAATAAATAGACCTTTTTTATATTTTTGTTTTTGGTTATAGACATTTTGGGAAACTCATGCTTCATCAAGCGAGTCGCAATGTATTTCCATTTTTCTCTTATTGAATAGTTTTTATACAGGGCTCTACAAATTGTTCTACGTTGAGGCACATGCCTCGGCAAAATCTGGTGAAGATTATGTTTTTCAGCCTTTTTAAGTTGTAAATCTTCATTTATTATTTTATTTATTACTAAAGATGTATTTAAAGACTTTACAATTGATTGCTGCGTCGATGAAGTTTCTCTTGTTACCAACGATTTAGCTTTAAAAGTATTAAAAAAATAAATAACTTTCATTTCATTCATTAACTTCATTAACCCCAAATTTTCATTTGGAGTCTTCTTTCCATATAAAAGTAGTGACTGCCAGTTTTTCCCATTCTGATTAATAATGATGCTTATTTTGCATATAAAAATTTAAATACCATGCATTTCCCAAAGTTTCTGAATCATGGAGTAGGAATATTTCTCTTCAGAAAGCGCAAAAACACATCTTTCAAGCCCCAGCTTGTTTACATGCGAGATTTTGAAAGAAGAATTTTAAAAGTAGCAGAATTATGTTTCTCATTTCAAGCAATTAACTGTTGTCTGAAAATTTTATTCCGAAAGCGTTTACTTTTTTTTTAAAACATTCTTTATCAAAGGCGCTCTAAAAATGTGTAAACACACTTTGTACAACAATCTTTGTACACTTCGCTAAAAAAAAGGGGGCGGCATATCTCCCGTTCTACTGGGCCGATTGGCAAAATTCAACTTGCGTTTTTATATATGTATTTTGACATAAAATCGGAATTTTTCTGAAATGAAATGCCAAGTGTTTTTTTCATGTTTCGATTCTACGACTCAAATTATACCAAACTGCCAAGTTTTGTAAAAATCGCACGAGTGGTTTTTAAAAAATTAGCTCTAAAACCTTTTCTCAAAATTTAATTATTTTCCTCTTATATCTCTTTTTTTTTTTTTTTATTAAACGTATTTGATTCTTTCTTTCACATTTCGAAATTTAAGTTCATTCCAAATAAAATTCGCCTATTTTTTATGATTTATTTTTAAAATTTGTATTTTTTAAATAATTTTTATAAATTTTTCGAAAAATATTTTGCATTATAATCTGTAAAATTTTTACCATCATCTTAAAGTAGATGTATTTAAGCATACATGCAAAAAATTAAAATGTTTTATTCAAAATTTCTAAAGATATACGTGATTTTATATATTGACGTGTTTTGAAATTTGGCATAATTGTTGAAAGCAATAATAATATCAAATGTTGTTTAGGCACTTTGTTAAAATTATTTGAAAGGAGCGATGTAACTTTTTTCCCGCTCATGCACAACGTAAAAAGGTTAGGAACGGTGTGATTTTTTTTCCGTTCCTTCCCAAGGGAAGGGGAAGGAAAATGGGTTGCCATATCTTAAGAAGTTCCCCAAGTGAATTATTCTTGACGCAAACTGAAAAAAAAGACACCAAGATAAGTTTGCGAGTTTCTCCATAAATTTCCCACTAAATTTTACAAAATTTAATATTTAGGCATAATTTGAATCGTAGAATCGTAGAATGGGAAAAAATTATATATTATATAAGAAAAGTCCCATTTGAGGTCAAAATACCTATGTTAGACTAATGCTATATATAAATCTAATATATACCCTAAGTCGCGCTTTCGAGGCATGAAAAATGCAATTTGAATTTCGTCAGTCGGCCCAGTAGAACGGGAGATATACGTAGAACTGTTCCCTTTTTTTTCTTTCTTTATACCCAGTGTACATTTATACTTCTCTTTAAAGGTTGCCTGATAACTTTTAGTCTACCATCTTCATTCACATTGGTATTTGTATCACTGGCTTTTTACATGATTCTAGCATGTTAATGCTCACATACTGTATTATTTAGATTGCTACTTAATCTTCAATAACGCTAAGTTTACTGTATACTACTTGTCATCCGATTTGATGAAGACGGTACATAATTTCTTCTTGAGTTAAAAACCTTAACACGCACGCTACTTTTGTTATTACTGGAATTTAAAAATAACGTATTTAATAAATAAGTTTTGATCTAGTGTAAATGAAAAGCATTCCTGAAAACATTTATAAACATTGATGTTATTGTGGTTGAAAGCTAACTAAAACAAAACACAAACACTTAACAATACTTGTTGTAGAAATACGAATAGAAATTGTAATTTTTTATTTCTGAGTAAAGATGTATTCATTTCATACAAGAGTGTAAAGAATTTTATGAATAGAATGAGCATAATTTAAGCATAGTTGAAACTTCGCCCACAGGAGAAGAATAGGGTTAATTCCAGTCTAGTTTTCTCCAAAGATTAATTAGTAGCGATTTTATAAAAAAACAAACACCTCTTTAAAGTTGACTTTTGTCTAATTTTATATTATTCATTTGGCTTGATAATCAAACTTGTTGTGCACAACTAGACTTTTAATATGTTTCAGCTTGAAACCGTAATTTTTAACTACCTTTACCTTTAGTTGAATCAAGTGTTTATAATCAAGCTGTTATGCACAACTGTACTTTTAATATGTTTCAGCTTGAAACTGTAATGTTTAACTACCTTTATTTTTAGTTGAATCAAGTGTTTATAACCAGTAGTACAATAGTTCTGAATTGCTCAAATGTTTCTCAAGTTTTCCGAACTAACCTTCACTGTATATTAAAGTTCTTGAATATATATTTATTTACTGAAAGAAATACAAGATACATTTAGTATTTAACATCGTATGAGTATTTAATATCATAATCCTGAAATACAGTTAGATGCTTCTGAACTACAGTCAGAGTATTTAATGTCATAACAACTTTCACAAATACCTTCTGTAAATAGATAAATTCCGGGGATATTCTCCAGAGTTTTCAAGTGCTTATTTGTTTGTTTAATAAGGAAGCTCTTACTATTTAATAAGTGGTGCATAATTAAATTTCTGTTAGGATTTTCTAACCATTGCCCTATATTTTATTTAAACAAACCAAGTTTGTAACAATAGAAACAACTTGATTTGAACTAACTTATAATAACCAGTTTCCCTTGTTTTATTCATCTTTCTGAAATATTTATTATTTTTATATAATTCATACAATGTATTTTTTAAGTTACATGTTTAAAACTTTTCTATGCACTTGCATTTCAAATACTTCATGCAAAAGAAACCATTTAAAAATCCACAAACAACCTTTTCCTGAGTTACAGTTAGAGATAACACTACTCGAAAATATGAACGCTCATTTATATAGTTAAAAGGAAAAGATCAGCTCTCTCAAGCGCCTGAAATTAAAATGAGATATGAAATGTTGCTAATAAGTTTTTTTGCCTTGTAGCAACATAAGGCTTACTTCACTAAATTAGAGAAGGTTTTTTTTTCAGGAATTTAATGTTTTCTAAATTTTAGTTCCCTATTTATGTTTCATGAAATATGCTTGAATATTTATGGAAAAAGAGAGTGAAATGTTCCTTTTTTTTTTTTTTTTTTTTTTTTTTTTTTTTTTTTTTGACAGATTGATTGGCTTAAATATTTTAGTGATGTGCTGAATGCTACAATCAGTGAAAATGAACCCTTGATTATTAAGGATCCAGATTTCATTGTTCGGCTGGTAAATTTTATCACACAAACAAAAAAGCGGTAAGACAAATTTCGCAATGGATTTAGTGTATGTTATTCTGCTTTGCAGAGGTAGATACCAGCAGCTAAAATAAAATTATACATGTATGCATGCGTGCATATACATCCACAGAATATTCATTATTATAAAAATACATATTCTACTCATTAATTTAATAATAATAATGCACAAAATACAAAGGAAGTTATTCAAATCAATATCTAATTATGCACTGTGGGTTACAACTGGCGATAATATTAAAGAATAAAAAGTGTAATAAATATTCACATTTAATACATCCAATGCATATCCAAACTGGAGCAAGCTAATATAAGAAAAGAAAACAAAAAATAATAAATAATATTTTTTTTAGCCCAAAGAGGCTCTAGCCCAAAAGGCTATTAGTCTCGAAACGGCATTTTGCGACGAATCACTTTTCAAATTGTTGCCCTCAAATATTATCGCCCTGTATTATGTTTAAATAAATTAAATAATGACGAATCTGCATGGATGTATGTATGTTTCTGGTACTGTGAAAATCAACTGAACCTAGCGCCATCAAATTTTGAATAATAGTCCTCCACTCGAATATGTGCACCTGGAAGCCTGAATTTTGAATTTCTTTTATTATCTATTCCTTATTTTGTAAAACTTTAACGAATTTTTCACTCAAAATGTCTACGATTTGCAAAGCGAGCAGTGACAACGGTGTAACAATTTTATCTCTAGCACGCGAGACTGTCTATCGGAAATTATAAAGATATGTCACTTTTAAATATTTTTAGCCCAAAGTGGCATATGCCCAAATGCTCTCGAAACGTGTATATGTGCGTAAATGAAAAAAAAAACGCTCCTCTGGGTCCCCCGGGGAAATTTTAAAAAACCCAGTGTTTTTTTTTTTTTTTTTTTAATTTATGCTAGGAGCTGCGTCTTATCGGGCTCTGCTATAATCTGTTACTTTAAAATAAGAATTTAAAAGTTATTTTCCTGCGCCCTATTTTACCCATAACCATGAAAACAACAACTGCGGGGAAAAAAAGAGTCAGCTCGCTTATTTATCCCCTCCCCCCGATTCCCTATCCACTCAGAGTGTCTAGTTTCATGAAAAGCATGCGAATGAAGCTGACATGAACTACAGTCTGAAATGTGTGTGTTTGTGTAAATGAAAAAAACCGCTCCTTTAGGGTAATAAAGGCTTACTTGAACTACAGACTGAAATGCTGTGGAGGAAATAAATGCTATGTGGTGATGACGACATAGCTGCGATCGCTTGTGGGAGGGCTAGTAACGGCCTTAAAACGCCTATTTCAAAATAGCAAATTATAGTTGTCCTACCATACGGTATAAGATATTTAATTTACATGAAAATAATGCTTTTTTTTTTTTCCAAAATGTTAAAAATACAAGCATTTATTTTTAGTAAAGTTAAAAATACAAATTTGTGTATAAAATTAATAAGGGACATTAGAAAAATTTCTGCTGAGGGATATATATGTTGGATAATTTTCGATGCATCAAATTTTATTTACTTTCAGATGCTACTTCTATGCATCACTTTCAAAACCCGCACTCTTTTATGTTTAATGCATAATGGCAGCTAAATATCTACAGATAGTATGAAGAAGAAAATAAAAGACCAGAGTAGTCGAGCGGATCAGATCGATGAATACTGGTACATCGTCGATTTCAAATTTCACTGAACTGTCTGACTATGTAGAAGCTATTGTATAAATGCATTTTCGTGTGTAGAAGTTAATGAAAACGTCTCCACCGACATCTCTTCCCTCTGACAGATAGCCCTCGTGTAAATGACTTCAATTTTACAGAAAATAAAAATCACGACTTGAAAGTTTAAAATTTAAATTTTCTTTCTGGAGAAGAAGTTTAAATTTATCTTACATTTTTCTAAAATTGATTTTGATCGTTTTGGGAATTTACTTTATTAGAAAGTGTTCTCTGTATCTAGTTTGTTTCTGTGAATGCTGCAATTAAATTATGGAACTTTATCGTTTTGTAGAACTGCTCTGAGTTTGTGTGTCCATGAAATTAAAACAAATAAAATGAAAATTATATTTTGGATACTATTCTTAATACTTTAGTAGCCCGTGTGTTAATAAAAAATACTTTATTAAAAATAAATCTCTTTTAATATTAGCAAACGTCTTTAGCTTAAATTTTGAATATTATGGGCGTCTATTTTCATTACGTTACGACACTAGGATATTTATCTTCCCATACACAGCTTGTTAAGTGTCTGCCACACATCAGTTTGTTTGTGATGAACAACTGTTTCAAACAATTTTTCTACTTAATTTAACACTGAAAAAAACACGCACGATTTTCCCCACCCTTTTGCAAAAAACTCTAAGTAGTTTAATTTCACAGTCGGCTCAGCATCTCCCTCTATATCATCACAATGAAGAACCAGTTTCTCCCTTAAATAGTAACCCCAAGTGACTGGCTGTTTTAAATCATGTGACAAAGAATTTTATTATGCATTTGTTCGCCTGAAATTTTTTGAATGTGTGATACGGCTGGGCACAGGAAAATATAATCAGTAAGGCGTAAAATAGCAAACTGTTTATAGTAAATGCTAACGAGGTTTTAAATGAAATGATTTATTATTAAATGTATAAGGTATTTCTCCCGCCTTCTTCGTATGCCTTCGTGGTGGTCTGCACGCTCAGCGCGTAATTGAGAGGTCCTTGGTTTGATTCGCGCGAAGGCGTTGCAAATTTTTCATTTCTCCTGCTTCCAAAAAATACCTAATGTCTCTACAAATGAAAGGAAAGCACTTTAGAGGTTTTTCGATGTGAATAAGCGAACGCTTGAAACACGCTACGGTATTAATTCCGCGGGATTAAGAATGGGAGAATCAAAAATTAAAGAATAAATCTAACCTACATTTAATCCAACTTCATTTTAACTACGCTGCTGAGGTTACTTACTGCCAATTGATATTTGGAAATAATAACTAAATTAGCAACAAATAAAATTAAATGTACTTCGTCGTTATGCGCCTGCCATTCAGTTTGGTGGGATTTTTAGTTGAAATAATTTTTGGTTATAAGAATAGTTTACAGATGGCTAGCAATGTAGTCAACTAACACTTTTTATGGGCATTCGCTCCATTATTATAATTAAATAAGGTATTTTCAACTTATTACATCATGTACTTATTTTAGTACTGCTTAATCGTCTACTCTTCACACCCTAAAGAGAGTTTCTTTATTAATAATTTTCTCAAAGAAGTATGTTTTTGTGTTTCAAATAATAGTATCTGTGTTATCCAATTTTTCTTGAGCAGTTAATGAAAGCTAACTTTCGCAAAACTTTGTAGTTTACACTTGGGATTATAATTTTTTATTCTGTGAAATTTTTATCATATATATGGGAAGATTTTCTTATCTCGTAGTCAGCAAAATTGTACGCCTAATAGGGGTTCGCCTTAATACACGCTATATCCGGGCTCTAAACGTGCCTACACTGCAGTTAGATAGATAATCGAACACCAAATTTAAGAACATCTGCTAATGACTGTCAACAAATGTATAATGTTCATAAATCAGAATGGTTAAGGAATAAAATATTTTCAGCGAAGCTCTTCAAATCTTTTACAACTCTAATTAAAACTTTCGTTTTATTAAGTGTAGACTTAGAATTTTCTTTTTTTTCTACAAGTTTCACTTTGTACCTATCGTCGAGGTATTTGATTTCAACCAGAAACAAATTTTGGGATTGCATTTAATGATTTTGCCTTTTACTCGTATTTGGTCTTTTAAGAGGTAGCCTTTTTTATGTGTGTGAGTGTCTACATGTGTCAGCACGCAGTAAGGTAAATTAATTATCAGAGATGTTGTTGCACTCATTTTCTTGATTGTGGTAATCCTTTGATTTAGCCTTGTTTTGTGATTTTTTTGGAATCCCATATAACTGACCATATAAACTATAACTCAGTTATTTTCAGTACAGGAAAGCATCTCTTTTGATGGCATCTATTAGATGTTTCTTTAGATACTTGTTGCTTTGACAATGTTATCCATTTTAATCAAATATGTGGGAAAAAGGATATTATTTTTTCTCAGATATCGGCTGACAGCTTAATAATATTATTATTGGTTTTAATCGAAAATTCTAGTCATTTTTATTTTTTCTTTGCAGAGTTTTAATCGGTCTTTCTACATGGTAGTCCAACAGACTTCGTTTCGTGGTAATGCTGATGAATGAAATCTTTTCTGTCATTTTTACTTCCTTGTACGAAGTAAAGGAAGTATTGTAATCACGAAAAATTCCGGGTACCATATTTCAACGATAATATCCATTTTGATGGCTATTGAATATAATAAGGATGTTTTTGCATGACATCTGTACATAAGGACAGAATAAAGGATCCTTTTCTAAAATTGATTTAAAATCGATGAAGGATTTGCGTGGCGTCTGTACGTACGTACATAGGTATGTACGTATGTATGTATCTCATATAACTCAAAAATGAATAGCCTCAGAACGTTGAAATTTTGTATGTGGCACTGCTATAATATGTTAGATGTGCATTTCCCTTTTTTGTTGCAATCGATAGCACCAAAAGTATATAAATATATATATATATATAATTTATTTCCTAAACAATAATGATTAATTTATTATATTATCTCCTAAGTTTAATTAAAGTAGAATTATTTTAAAAGAGTGAATCCATACTGGTAAGTTATATTTTGAAAAATGTTTTGAAGTAATTTGAAAGTAAAATGTTAATAATGTTTTAACGGAGACTGGAATTAAATCATCATGAAGAACAAAATTTCAATTGGAAATCAAAAGGAAAAAGTAAATTAAATGCATGTAATCATTGTCATTGATCGGAAATTAGTTGACTTTTCAAGGGGAACAAACCAACTCCTGTTCAATGAACAATAATTAATAAAAATACGTAAATACGAAGGTGTTTCATCTTTACTCGAGTTAGAAGGTAAAGCCAAACCGGCAATTCTAGTCAGGCCAAAAATTTCCGCGAATAGAA